GTCTTCCCCAATATCAAGCACATAGTACTAAAGAGTAGGAGGTACCAAGGGAAGAAGAAAAGTCAATTAGCTTTGCCTTGGATCCATTTACAGAAATGGAAGCATGGTAACAGATAAATCTTGCCTGCAGAACACGTGAGCAGGGGCTGCGGCAGTACACAGATCAGCAGCGGGGCCTCTTACCTGGGCAGCGGCACATGGCCATCTGGTTAAGGCCTGACTGTACTTTAGACGGCAATCAATGCTGAAACAAATTTCTAAATCTTTTAAATGTAAATTTTAAGGACTGAATGATCTTCAAGGTTATCTTGGACTTCAACTGTGGGCCAATCAACCTCACTAGTATTTCAATAACATCATGTAAAAAGAAAAAATTTTTTGTGTCCATGTCAGTTCTCCCAAGTGGTACTGAGATGGTCAAGAAGCTTGACAGACTAGTCGACTGCTCAATGGTCTGCTTTTAGTTTTGTGGTAGTTTTTCTGTCACATGCCTACCATCATCAGTCTTTAAAATCCCATGTGTGGGTATTAAGATTCATACAGCAGCATTTTATTGTCTCCATACATCAACTAATCCTAGAAAAATAGCAAAAATCTGCTATAGTCAGCTTAAGTTTAATAGTGGCTTTCAAAGTTCAAATATATATTGTTTTGGAATTATACAAAATAGCACTTTTTGGCAGGACTTCACATATTATAGCTAAACAGGAAATTACCTGTACTGGGAAACAAGTCAATTGACTATTCTCTTGCAGAGAATATGAGCAATTTTGAAAACCTACAACTTTAAGAATTCAAGAAAAATGTACTAGTTGCGCATGGCTACTGTGTCTAAACTTTTTTATACAGTGCATCGATCCCAAAGCACTCCAACTGCTTCATACTCCCCTATACAGTAGCAGCCCCTTTATACTATTTCTGCCAAGTGTGCAGAAAACATTTTATAGCCAGAGAAAAACAGTATGTTAAGGGATTTAAGACCATCCATTTCCATCAGAGGAGGTTATAGAGTAGAAACCTATTTCCACTAAATCATGAGTTGTACTTAATGATTAATAGGTTCATTAGAAGTAGTACTTAAGATGAATGGACACAAGAATGTCTGAAGTTTTACATGTTGAGTTCTGTTGGTTATAGCTGCTAGAAAGAAATTTCTGAAACAGTGGTTCTTAATTGGGGGCAATTTTGCATTAACCTCCTCCCCACCGACCACTGGGGACATTTGGCAATATCTGAAGACAATTTTTGTTGTTTAAAACTGGGGTTGGTGATGGTACTACTGGTAGTATCTAAGTGGGTAGAGGTGAGGGACTATCTTAACATGCACAGGGCAGCCCTCATGACACAGAATTATCTAGTCCAAAATATCAACTGTGCCAAGGGTAAGAAATCCTGATCTAAAAAGATGTATTTTTCCACTGAAGTCTAAATCCTGGAGGAAAGCATGGATTTTACATCTAGAATAAGGAGCCAGGAGTTTTTTCCAGCCCTTTTAGAAAAGCATTAGTTTATAGACGATAATGATTCCAAACAAAATACACATTTGCGTGTCTTCTAAAAATACACTAGGATTATAGTAAGCTACTACCATTGTAGTAAGGTAGCTACTCTTACCTAAGGAAGTTCCTAAGTTGGGTTTATACTAAAAGTGAAATGTCTGTGGAACAAGTAATATAGCTTTTCAGAGTAACATGGTTAGTACAGGCTATTAAAACATGAGGTTATTTTGGTACCATACATTACCCAGTTCTGGAGTATAATTCTTTAGATTTATGTGTGTTGGGGGAGAGAGAGAGCATTCTAGAATAAAATCACTCAATGTGCATCAACCATTAGTTACTGATAATGGCTAAATACACACGAATTCCAGTATTTCCTAATCTGGAAAATTTTCAGTTCACAGAATGTAAGCTTTTTCTCCAAGACCTAAGTAAAACAATTTGCCAAAATCATCACTGATAATCATTTAAGATCAGAATTAAAAGGTATGAAGAGGTCAGGATATTAAGATTCCCTCTACTAAAAATTTTATTCTGAAACCTGACACGCATTGACATCACAGGGTCTAACAAAGTAAAATTACCTGCAATATTCCCTCCAGTAGTTTTAATTCCCTCCAGTTGGTTTTTATGATATCCAATGAAAAACAGATCACAATTTGAATTTAGAACTAACTTTCTAAGAGCACAAACACATTCCTGATAATCTTGCCCTAACTTGCAGTAGAGGTGTTCACAAAAATCTTATTTTTCTAGTAATAGGAAAAGCAGTAATTTCACTATCTCTTCCTTAAGAAAATGGCCTTATGCCACCAAATACTTCTGTGTTCCATTTTTACAACCAAAGGTATCAAAGGAGTTTTATATTTAATTAACTGGAAAAGTCAGTTAAAACCAGAATATCCTTTTTCCAAACAATATGAAGTGTTACTGTATTGTCCATTTTCCACTCTACAAAGATATGAATCTGGGGTGGCAGTGATTTGAAAAGTTAAGATTCAATTTAAGATACAGCTAGAATCCAAAATTTGCTAAAAATTTAAAGCTCCTTAACATCAATACATTTACTAACCATAATATATGTAGAGAATGGCAGTTAATTTTAACAATTTAAATTTTTGGTAAAATTTAATGTGGGCAGAAAATGTTACTTCAGCTTTTTAATTGTGAAATATTGCCATATACTTTGTCATGTGGCTAAATAAAGCTTACATGGCTTATTAACTGTTTCAATGACCAGGGATTTTGAACATTATTAATGAACTTCGATCATGCCTATATAATTGTATTATTTGCTGTCCAAGAGTGAGCTATAAAATATCAAAACATCCCTTAGAACTGGTTAAATTAGATATGCCCCTAGTATTTACCATTTGATTAATTATGGTTACATAAATTTTTTGGTAAATATTCAAACATTTGATGAAGTCATCATACTCCTTTTAAGCATTCTAAATCCCAACGGTTAGGAAGCTTTAGACATCACGAACGTGAAGACCTGACCACTTTTTAAAAATTACATATAAAACCAATAGCACTGAATGATAAATTTTTACATTAGGCCTTGCCATACCAAATTTCCTTTCCACTTGAGTTTCATAAAATAACCTCCAAATGCAACTCCCCGTATTGAACTTAAGAAGAAAAAAAAAAAGCCAGGTAGTTCTAAACAGTTGATGTGTCCTCAAGAAAATCAGCAAACAAACAGCAGTTTTTCTATGAACTTGTAGCTCTCCTGAGAAACCTACATACGGAGAACTGCTAAGCAGAACTTACTAATAGTATGTAAGACTGGCAAGCAAGAGTAGTGAGTGGCAGACTATGACTGGACTCCACACCTTACAACCTCCATTCTAGTACTGACCTGACCACTACAAGTACAGTTAATCAGCAGAACTCAGCATTTAAAATCTGAGTTTTCTTCTCCATTACCTAATTTTGTCATGTACATAAATATATATATATGTAAATATATATATATTTTAAAAAGCACTAAAATCATATCTACTACTAGAAAAAAGTGTGATCTATTTCTGTATTAAAAGATAGACTTTCAGCTATGTTAGAAAAATTAGCCATCTTCCAAGACTTAAAAAACCATGCCATCTTGGAAGTTAAAAAAAAAAAAAAATCCAATACATGAAAAGTATTTGGATTTAACTTCAGACAATTAACTAAGACATTCACACAACATATGCATGTCAGTCTCCTATATGGTCCTAGAGCCTGCAGTATTTTAATTTATTGTGAAACCATGTAACCAAATACTTAAATATATCCACAACATCTATACCACGGTAATGCATAGTACATAATATACTGACATCTCAAAATAAATTTCTATTACAGTTTTATGCAAATTATGGTATAAGATTATCACTTGCCACATTTCTGAAATGGCACCAACTTCATGTAACGTTCTATATTAATGTACTAAAATCCTTACTGGTAATGATGTCTTATGCATTATCATCTGAACATTTGAAATCAAGCTGTTAATCTAATAACCACAGTATGTTATCAATTAAAATCACTGCATATTCAGATGTTAAAGCAGGAAGTTATACAGCAGGAAAAGTATTTCTAATTCACAGTTTCAAAAATAAAGGGTGCAGTTTTCAAATATGATTGCTTAAATTGGTCAATTTAACAACTGCCTCCTTCAATACATGTAAACTATGTTTGCACAGCATTAGGAGATGTCTTTTATTTCAGAAATTAGTTCTTACTGTTACAGGAGCACCACAAATTTGAAGGAAGAGGCTACAGTGTGAAATGAGCTCACTGAAGGGTAGGTTAAATAAAATTTTAACTACAATATAAGGTACTGCAAAGCTTTGTTTCCCCCCAGCACAGACCCCTTAATGAGGAAAAGTAGCCAACACTTACCAAATACAATATGTAAATTAGCTCTACAAGAAGGGGGGGGAATCTAACCCAACCAAAAGAAAATACTATATTAGCTAACAAACCTGTGATAGTCAGCTTCAGAATTTTCCTAAAAATAAAATTCAAAAGCATACACAGTATTTGTATCCTTCGATAAGGAATGCAGGGATCCAAAGGGAATGAAACATGTGGTTTTAAAAATTTCTAAGTGGAAACACACACACACAAATGGGTAACTGAGAAAAACTGAGTACTTAAATATTCAAATTTTAAATGTGTAAGAAAATTTATAATAGAAAAAGTGGCAAATTGTTATTGTGACTTGATTTGCTGAAAACATCTGCAAATTCACACTGGCATTAAGAAAACCAAAGTTTCAAAAATTTACTCCTCTCTCTCTCTCTCTCCAGATATGTTTTCTGTGCAAAAATAAATATCTGAAAATTGCACTAATACAATAATACTTATTTTAACTTTTGTTATTATGAATAATCTGCACATGCTGCTTTACAGACAATACATATTTGTAAACTTGCTCATGCAAAATTAGTGTGCGCAACAGGGATATCATTAATCCCCATACTTAAAAAATGATACCTTATCTTTTTAAACTGCCAAACCCTTTGAAATGTAACAAATCTTACACAGATATTGTCTGCCAGCTAAAAATCAATTTATGTTGCTGAAACAAAAAGTTATACAAGAAAAACATGGTTTTCATCTTGCAGAATTTTTGATTTTTAAAAGAAAATTTATAAAAGAAAGAAATTCATGGTCACAAAATTTTAACATTTTAATCCTAAACATTACAGGGCAAATAGATACTGGACCCTAGCTCCATAAATCCTAACTTTTAGTTTCCATTTTTTAAATGTTGCCCTAACCACTAAGACATTAGTGGTTTTACAACCTCTGGAGATTGTGGAAATACATGTTTCTGAAAGAAATGCTACAAAAACAACAATGGAAGAAAGCCAAACTGTCTCCGCGAAGGAAAAAAAAATATGGAACATTTTGAAGCCTTAAATACTTCTCTTTCCATGTTTTCTGATTAACCTGTCAATTCAGTGCATCATATGGTCAATATAATGGTCCCCATGTTGAACAAACATCTAACTAGTGTCCATTGATTCCAAGTTAGTAGATGATGAATCTTTTTGGATACTTTCAAAGATGGCCGCCAGCTCAGGGTTAGAACTGATCTGTGACTGGAATTCACTCATCAGTGGACTCTTCTCTGCTTCTGGAATGGTTAGCAGCGCTGCTACTGCTCTCATGGCAGATCGCTTTAGTTCATCTTGCTTTTCAAACTCCTGCTTTACTGAGTTTGCCTTCACCTGTAACATTGAGTAAATTTATACTGTGTTTATAAAGACAACTCTTGAACAAAATTTAAGCACGTAGAAATTTCTGGTAAATAAAGCAAAGCTATTGTTTTATACATCCAAAAGGTACATTCTACTCTAAACAGTTATTTTTAAACATTTTAGCCGTAACTGTTCTTCCTTTGAGGAAACATTTTATACCAATCCCCTTATAAAACAGAAAATCCGGAGCCATCATGGTTGAAAAAAAGAATGGAACCCAGAGCCTTATCTTACCTGGTCATCAAGTCCTACTCTGGCCCCCAAAAACTACTCCTCTAGCTACCCTGTTTAGTCCTTATTCTTTTAAGAACATCATGTACTGACCTCTCTGTGCCTTAATATGTATAATTATTTTTATATGAAAAGTCCTGTTTCACCTTCCGAATCTAAAAATAATTGACTTTCATTTTCAAGGTCCATTTTAAAAGTCATCATGCTCATAGAAAGCTTTCTATGACTCCCACACCTACCCACCTCCACCAGAATTCATTTCCTCTTTTGTGTTCCTATCACACTTTATCCTGTATCAGCACTTCAACAACTTCAATATTATAACATTAAATAAAAGCTTTTAGGAAAGCATTTAATAGTGCTAGTAAGTTTTCTTTTCTTTTTTGCTAGTAAGTTTTCTAAACTTACTAGCAAAAAACCAACTGCTACATAGGGTACTAGCATGGTTAAATTTGGAAAACTAGAGTACAGAATCAACTAGGAATCTTGAATATACCCAGTCTGGCCTTAGGTGATGTCAATCAATGATTACCTTAGTTGTACATGTGGCACGTAATGGCTCAACAAGTCGGTCCAACCTCTGTAGTACTGCACTTGGACAAAGGGTGGAGAGTCTCACCAACATTAAAAATGTTAGCATCTATTAGAAATTAAAACAAAAAATTTAGACTTTGCATTATTTTCTAAAGACAGTATTCCAAATTCTGACAAAGTTTTTAAGAGGAATGACTAGTTTCAAACCTTAGCTGAGGAATATTAGTTACAAGCATTAGACAGATCTAACCCATAATGTGGTCCTAGAGTACAGAACTAACAGTGGTTCTCAATCTTGGCTGCACATTAGCACTGCAGAGCTTTAGAAATATGCCCAATTCCTCAGCCCGTTTCCCAGAGATTTTTACCTAACCTGTCAGGATAGGGCCATAGATACAGTATTTTTTTAAAAAGCTCATGTGCACCAGAATGGAAAATCACTGAACAAGAAAATAACTGAACTAGGAGAAAAGCTTCAAAATAAGTTTCTACTGTCTTAGCAGGTATCAAAAAGACTGGTTATTCAGATTAATCCAGTAACCCATAGTCTTTTTTTCTCTTTAGACTATAAACTGTAGAATGAAACAGGACGATTCTATTCTTTTGGGGATTTGTTCATTGAATTCTGAGAGGATCAGGTTACTACCACATATGGAAACAGAAGTTGGGATTCTGATAGTATGCTCAATTACTGTTCAGCTGCCACTTTTGCCCTGCTTGACTAATGGAAGGCCCCAAAGAGAAGAGAGACAATGCACTTTTTTTTTTAAAATCACCCTTTTATAGTTCATATTTAAAACAGACGTGAGCAAATAAAGAGCAATTATGAGTAAAGTTCATGCTCTGAACCTATAAAGCGGTGTGATTTCTCTCTAGTTGCTTCTACAGATTGCTTTCTATATGTGAAAACAGTCCTTTTGTGTTATCCTTTAACAAAACTCTTGATATTAAGCCTATAATTTTATATTGGAAAGTAAAAACCCCTCATTCCAGTAAATAAAATGGTTATCATGTAGAACAGCTTTAAAGACAGTCCAAAGAATTAACTAAGACAATGATGGAAGACTACTATCCAATATTAAGACAGGACAAAAATATCATACTCTAAACAGCAAAATTTGTCTGGACTCTTAAGTAAGGGAAAGCTGTAGAAACTATGCACTAAAGCAAGCTAACAGAATTTTCCATCCATAACGTAGACTTGACTTCCTCCTCCAATGAGGTTTCTGGATTTTTCCTGCATGTCAACTGATGTTACATTGCATCACTATTACTTTTGCATATTACAGTTTATAACACACTTATTAAAATCATGACAAGCAAACCAGTTTTTCTTAATAAACAGTAAATTACAAGGATGAAAGTCACTATAGGAAAGTTCTTCTAAAACAATCTATAAATAGGCACAAACATCTTACCTTAATATCGTAATGGTCCTTCAAACCATCTTCAACATGATTTAGAAATTCAAAGATATCTAGTCTATCAAGACAACTGTCTAAAAGTGTGTACATACACTCAAAAGCCGCCTTTCTAATATCCAGTCCGTCATCAACTGTATGCTTAAATGGACCCATTTCTACCTGTTGAAACAAAAAAGAATGTGTGGATATACTTAAAAATAAAAGACAAGCTTAGATAAACAGTAATGTAACTAACTTACCTCTCTTATAAGCTCCTTTCTAACTTTTGTTTCATTATAAAGATGTGGCAGAACAGTATCTAGAAGATCCCTTATTAACGATGGTTTATTATGTGCTGCTGAATTGAATGTGACCAAGGCTACTCTTCTTACATTCAAATCTGGGTCTTCCAATGTTTTTAGGAAATCACCTGAAAATTTTAAGAGAAGCAACATACTGTCATGGTAGGCTTAAAATAAAATACATGTTTTTTCTATATGGGTAAGTTTACTGTTGATATTATTTCTTCAATGCAGGTCATGGAAGAATATGATGATATAATAAGTGAACCTTAGAGCTGCTTTTAGCAACAGGTAAACTACTGATTAAACATAATTACATTCAGATATGATAACCGACTCTTATAAACATTCTATAACGCAGAGGGCATGGAATGAGAGAGCCTAAAAAGTTCCCTAATTACTTCTACAGATATATTTAAAAAGGTAGTTGCACAGAGAAGTGATGGAGCCAGCAGCTACAAAAGTAACATAAATGATTCTACTCAGAGTTCAAAATTAGTATTTTCACTAAAAGCAACAAAAATAGAATGAAAAACATTGAGTTCAAAATAAGATAAATAGGATGAGGACTAGATCCACTGCTTGATGGATCAAGCAAGTTGCTTGATGAATACTAACAAGTATACAATTTATCAGATGATGAAAGAGAAATAAAACATTTCTATCTTTAATGAAGAATATATAAATTGGTAAGAGGGTTAAAAATGCAAAAGGAGGTAACTGAAACCTAACATAGGACAAAAAGCAGAAATAAGTCTGGTCTTGCCAATGTGGGGAAGAAATTATAGTGCAAAGATGTTTGGAATCACACAGATGGTGATCCAAATCACTTCATTGGCCGATTGTATGACTTTCAGCAAGTTACCTTAGGCAAGAGCCTCAGTTTCTCAGTTTACAAAATGAGAATTATAAACCTTAGGCTACATGAGTAGAATAAATTGCATGTATACTGCTGAAAAGTGTCTGAGACACTGCTGGTATTCACATGGAGTTATTGTTCATCATTATGCAATCACAACCTTATAGTCAGCAATGTTTTGGAATACATAAGGGAAAAAAAAGAGGTGCCAAGACTTGAATGTGTCACAACAGCAATTTGAAAAAAGCGTTCAGGAGGTACCTCGGAATCAAAAAGAATTTAAATATACCAGACTAAACCTTCTTACCCCTCTGTTTGCTTACAATTACTAAGACAGTAAATTAGAATAAAGTATTTGCTTTCAGAAAAGCATCTAAAATACTGCTATTACTATGGACAAATGGTGACATGCACTAGGATTACCTATCCCCAACTCTTTGGTTTAGTTATTACAATTTTTAAAAGGCTTCCTAAGTGGTTCTGATGTTCATATGGTCACAAATAATACTAAATCATAATCCAATGAGAATGACCATCATCTGCTCAAATAACTATACCAATGATACACAATGGTTGACTTGTCAACCTGGAAATATGTCTCTAGAGATGTGGCACAGGACTCTTCTCCTTTGTCCTATCTTGTACGACACAAAAAATGTCAAATATATCAAAGTGGGGTGCCTGGGTGGCGCAGTCGGTAGGGCAGCCGACTCTTAGTTTCGGCTTGGGTTGTGATCTCAGGGTTGTGGGGTTGAGCCCTATGTTGGGCTATGTGCTCAGGGCAGAGTCTGCTTGGGATTCCCTCTCCTTCTGCCCCTCTCGTTCATGCTGGCTTGCTCTCTAAATAAATAAATCAAACCAAAAACAGGTGAGGAGGACAAAAGGCAAGAATCCTCCAATTCAGACCTTATGCCTAGGTCCCAACAATAGCATCCATTGGGGGCGCCTGGGTGGCTCAGTTGGTTAAGCGACTGCCTTCGGCTCAGGTCATGATCCTGGAGTCCTGGGATCGAGTCCCGCATCGGGCTCCCTGCTCAGCGGAGAGTCTGCTTCTCCCTCTGACCCTCTTCCCTCTTGTGCTCTCATTCTCTCTCTCAAATAAATAAATAAAATCTTTAAAAAAAAAAAAATAGCATCCATTTATCCCTATGCCTCTCTTATTCTGAACTGATAATCCATTTTTGTAATTCTTTTAAATTGCTTTTTTCCTTTCTGGCCTACTGCAGAATGGCACAAAACTACAAAGCTTCTTTGCCATATCCTTCTATCCTCTCTGCAGCTCTGTCTTCAAGAAAACACCAAACTAAGCTCTGAAGGTCTTTAGTATTACCAACTCTAGGAAAACTAATGATGAAACAACACAGGGAAGTTATAAAATCAATAAAATAATCCTAAAAACTAAATCTTGTCCTCGTTGATGTAGAGACAGCCCTAGTCTCTCCTGGATATCTCTTAGTTCTACTCTGTTTTTTATTCTTATATTGTCTCCACAGATCTCCTTGGGAGCTGAAGGGCTTATAAGAACAGAAAATCGGGGCTATAACAGATCAAGCAAGATTAATTTATATCTGGTCAGATAGACCAAATGTGTAGACAACTCTGAAGCCATCCCAGTGTATTTATTTGCAAAATTATCTGATAACTTCAAACTAAAGGATGATATAAGTATGTAAGGTCACACACTAGCAATTATCTTTTTAATGAAACAATTACCAGACCCCTACAAGCATTTTATTTTAGTTCCTTGGTAATATTTTTAGTTACTGAAATTATTAATCAGTATGTTTATCTTTGTTTCCACTTACCTATGCAGTTCTTTAACAGGGGATCAATAGGTTGTGGATGATCAGAAATAGTAAACTTCACAGCTGTAACCACTGAGCTTCGGGCATATGATGAGCCTAATTAAAAAGAAATTTTAAGTCTATTGGTATGTAAATTCACTAAAATCCATGGATATCTTTATCATTTTCAAACCACTTCAACTGACACCAGTGTCCTCAATTCCTTAAAATTCTCTTTGGTCAAGAGTACCACTCATTGCTCTCAGGGCAGGCAAAGTTTACTCATAAAACATAATCCCATTAGATTTCAAAAGAAATAATGTCTTCTGGGAAGGAGAAGACCTGGGAGAGCAACAGTGGAGAATCTAGCCCTCACAAAAGGGAAGAGTTTAAACCCATAAATAGTTTACAAGACCTTCAAGTGTTTTCTTAAAAAAGCAGTTTCTGAAGAAAGCAATGGCTATTATTACCCACTACTTGGTCTAAAGGAGTTGACACTGGTAAATCTGAAAACAAAAGTCTTCTAGGATCCTTCATTTGAACTAAGTTCACTAATTTTAGTACTATAATTAGTACTACCAAGTTCCTTAGTATGTATTAATTCAAGAGACATTTGTCTTTTCCACATTTTAAGATAAAAGAGTAACATTAAAATATAATGAATAGGAACTACAAGAGATTTAACCACGATCTTATTACTCTATCCTTTTTAAACAACAAAATGTCCTTTGAATATGGCTCCATATTGCAACACAAGGCAACAGATTCTACATGTAACATAATACAAAAAGGCTTTAACTTCTGCATTGGGAATCTTTCAAGGTTACCAACTGCTAATAAATTTTTTTTTTTAAATAAGAAAATCCAGGTACCCACCTGATATCAAATACCCCTTAAGCCGTGGAAGGAGAGTTTCTGGATCAATTAGAGTGAGTTTTCCTAGACATTCAGCAACAACATTTCTGGTTCCTTCTTCTGCACACTCACAGTGCTTTAGCAGTAAGGCCCAAATGTTTTCAACATATGGTTTAAGGCCCACTACTGATGCAGAGCTAATAATTTCCTTCAAGGAATGAAGCAGAAGATACTGCCTTTTGGGTTGACTGGTTATTTCTTGTAAGACAAATGGTAGATACTCAGGAAGGTTGCCCACACTAATGCTGCCTAAAGCATAGGAGGCGGCTGATTTAACTTCTTCACTAGGAGATGAGAAGGCTTCTAATATTACAGATTTTAGTTCCAGCTGCCCACTTAAGTCAATATGATGCCCAACTTCTCCAAGAGAAAGCAGAGCTAAGAGACGAATGGAATCTGTAGACCTTGAGTTCTTGACATCTTGAATAAACTGACCTACTACAGCTGGTCCTTCTTTAGGGCATGCTCGAGTAAGGGCAGCTACACATTTGGCAATAGAATAGTAAGACTGCTTGTGAGTAAGAGCGGTGCTCTGAGAATAAACTGGACCAGTCAGCATGCGCAACAAATCCATGTATCCTAGATTATTTGTTCCAGTGACAACCAGAGCTTGGAAAAAGTCTAGCATGGCGCTAAGAGCTCCCCCCTGTAATAAAGGTGATCTCACAAGTCCAATAAGTTCATTGAGAATGGATCCACTTATCTTTGAAAGGGAGGAGGGATACACTTTTGCCAGTGTGGTAAGGAAACTGATAGCCATCTGTGAAACATGCATATCACTTTCACTGATAAGAGGTGGGAGCTCATCTAGAACTGCATCAATCATGGCAGCTGTCAAGCTGTCACTATAGTTTTTAATTAGAATATCTAGGGCAGAAAGGGTACCCAGTTTCAAAGCTCTCTGGTTTTTCCTGAGAAATGAAGCAAGGATAGGAACCCCTTCTCCCAGGACAGGCCTCAAATCTATCTTCAAAGGCGACCCAGCAATCAGTGTCAATGCCTTCACTGTAGTTAAGCGGGTAATTTCATTCTTTAGCCTCTCCAAGAAAATCTGAAGTGTATTAGGCAAATCAGAACCCAAATTGTCTCCAAGGTTGCAAATAATTTGTCCCATACAAGAAATAGCCCTTTCCTTGACCTCCTGATCAATGTCAGCTGCTTTCAACCTCTTAATGGTACAGGTAAATAGATCTTTGATATAAGGAGTTGCATCAAACGAGGAAGGCTGATCTAAAGGACGAATTACTTTGACAAGCTGCTGGGTAACAAGAAGTGCTTCAGATGTAATCTTGTAAAATGGGTCTCCAACACAAGCCACCACCGGAGGGACCAAAGCCTGAACGTGAGGATGGAAGACTTGAGGAGAGTGGTTACAGAGGATTACATACAGACACGACAAAGCATCAATCTTCAAATTTGATGAGCTTGATTTATCATTCAGTGAGAAAATGATTCCTAAAAAGCCAACAAAAAAAGTCCAATAATTTTTATGTATTTCTAGGAAAGAAAAAATCAAAAACTAATCCCTAAAATTTTATTAAAGTTTCTACTTACTCATACTATATCTCTAAAGTAGTAGAAATTCCACAATCTATGATAAATATTAGAGCCCAAAATTTTAAGCTAAGATTTTAACCTTTTTACTTGAAAATTTCTAACTTTAGGTGTTCAAGATGGTTCTATGTGCAAATTAAGTTGTCACAAACTACCTTTTTGAAGGAAACAACTGTTTAAGCTTATCGAAGACTTAATAAAGTCTATAGTAAGTCCCCAAAGTGATTTACTATTTCTTTCATACCTGGCACAAGTACAGGAATGTGTTGCGTTAGGGCCCCAGGTAGTACATTTACCAGTTCAGTTAACATGTTAAAACAACACTGTCGGGTCTTCACACTTTTTTCTTTCATCTGTTTGTGCAGAGCTTTAACAATGTTGGGAACCTGTAATTATCACACACACGTTAGCTGGTTCAGCTAGTGGTATTTCCTCAATACACTTAACACAAATTATTAGGGATGGGAAGAGAGGGAAGAATTTAACAAGATTGTTTGACACAAATTTTGTCGTACCTGTTAGATAAGGTCTCTTGGAACTCTATTTGCTTTATACTGATAATAGAGAAAAGCTATCATTAGCTTTCTACAGAGCAGGAAAGTCTTCCTTGATTAATTTTAATTATGAAATGCACAAGACTAAATAGAAATCAAACCAAATAAATTTTCAACCAAAATTTTAGGAACATAATTTATAAATGGCTTTTTGAACAAAAATAGCACAGATATGCATTAAAAGAAAGGGGACAAATTACAGAAGAGAAACCATTAAATGGGTCTTTGACTTTGCTCTCACAATGAAACAGACCTCACTTCAAAATGTAGCTACAAGCAGCAAGGTTATGATTCAAAGACATCTGCTGCTAAACTTTCTAACGTTTTGTTAGTTGGTAAAACCTAAACAAAGTATTTACTAATCTTACAGATATGATACATACAGACACATGCCATACTGAACAGTGATCTGAAAGCTAGAGACAAAAGAAAACCACCTAATTCATTACATCATCAGAACTTCCCATGTTTTTATCTGACTTCTATACACTTTTTCTCATTTCCTTCTACAATTAATCTTCAGTGTTCACCTTTAAGTTCACCATGATTTTTTTGTTAATTTGTACTACTTGAAAGCAAGACAGATATGTACATCCCCCTTGGGTTATTTGTTCACTGCCTCTCAACATCTGTTTTTGTAATTTATAAAAATGAACAAATATGTATGCCATTGGGCTGCTGTAGGGATTATATATACGACAGAAAAATGCCTAGCATGCATTAAATATTCAGTAAGTAGGAGCTATATAGCTCTAATCTTTAGAATCTTAGAAAAGATGTCCTGAAGTGAAAAATATCTATGCCAGTTATTAGTAAAATAATATGGACTAGGCACTAGACTGTTTACATAAATCATCTCACTTCTCACTACCGTGGGTAGACCATTCTAAGTAAATAAACTGTTAATACAAATGAGAAAAGTGAGGTTTAATAAAATGACTAACTTGTCCAGGATCACACAGCTAAATGAGTGAAACAAGGTATGAACACAAGTAGTGTGACTCCATAGCTCTAAGATTTCTCTGTTAACATCAAAGATAATTTGACTGAACCTTAAAATTATTTTATCTAGTAAAATCAAGAATACCTCAAATCAGAATAAACTATTTACAAGTAACATAATATGAATGTACATAAACTACTACATAAACATATCCCAGAAGTATGCTTTTCTGAAGATGTTCTGGGACTCAGATTTCCATATAAAAAATTTTAAAATTTCATATTTACAAGCATGACTTTCAACCATACTTTTAAACTGACCTGACTCTGAAGCATTGTTAAAGGTGTTTCTCCCTGCTCCATTGCATCAGGGTCACATAGCCAACTTTGTACAGGACGAGTTTGCTTCAAAAGAGAAAGGTATGCATGAAAAACATCTGCCTTCACATTCTCTTCACGCTCTTTAAATCTGGATATCAGTGCAGGAGAGACAGTCTTGTAGAATTCTGGAAGCATTTCATGCCTTGTGCTAACTACAGCATCCAAACACTTAGCAGCTGCACGTCTCACTTTCCAACTCATGTCATCGTCGTCACTGTATTCATCATCGCTCCCTAAAGAGAAGTTTTAATGTTAACACACTATTAATTGTAAGAAAAGTTTATCATTTAATACAGAAAAGTGAACTGATACTCAAACCCAGTTTTATAACTTTTCACTAACATATGGCAATAGAGAAGTTTTATTTTTTTTAATAGAGAAGCTTTAAAAGATTACGTACTTAAAGAGACTATATAAATTTACACATAAATTAACCTCTAAAGAAAATAATCATAACTGTTTTTAACTTGTTAATCATCTTCTCACTTAATGTGGGTAATGAACAGCTTATCTATGATTAACACGTGAAACTTCTTTGCAACATAAATATTTGTAAAATCAGCCTTTTAATCAGTATGAATAGAAGTTCAAAGGACTCATTTGACACTATAGGAAAATCAAACAATCAATTAAGGAGTTAGTAAGATAAACCAGGAAATAAGACTAATGACTACAGATGAGGTGTTAAAAAAAAAAGCATGGTTACCAATCCCAGGACATGCTGGGGAGAAAAAAGAATCCTGACATCAGCTTTCTTTGTGGCTGTAAGGCTTTTTACTAAATTTGTTGATGGGCTATGAGGAAATAATATGTATATTTTCAACCTTTCAACATATTCTCTTAAGGTAGTTTAAAGAAACCATACTTCCTCAATTACAAGAAAATTCTGGTAACAAAGCACCATGTAAAAACAGAACACCATCTTCTCCAAATTCCTGTTAAACCTTAAAACAATATTCCAATGCTATTAACTCCATTTCACTCATGTATACTTCATGGACTTTCATGTGTGTGAAATCTCTGAAAATTATTTCCTTCTAATACTATAAGGCTGAATCAGTTGGGTAACGAAGTCAGGAGGATGGCACAAATACTAGCAGTTCTCAGGACAGTCTAAAATTATCTAACAATAATTTTGTTATTCTTAGATAAGATTATAGCCCTGAAATGCTGATTCCTCACTGGGGGAAAAAGGTGTCATCTCTTCATTGGCTTCTATTCCAATTAGCTTAGTGACAGCTAAATGTAGCCAGCTATGCCTTTGAAAATCCTAGGATTATATAATAAAATCTTCCAATCTCCAGAAGGTTTAATTTCATCATAGCACATTATAGGAAAACCCAACAAAATACTACTAAACCCAAGGCATTTGACTTATTCACCAATACATATGTGAATAAAAATTACAAGGTACTGTATCAAAATGGACTATTTAAAAGCAAATAAATAAAGGAAGTTTTTCCCATGGCAACCCAACTATGGGAATTATTTTGCAGAAATATACTTTGTTGAAAAAAGGGTTATTAAAACATTAAATACTCTAATCACTGAAATTATGTTGCTTTTATGTTAAATAACACTATGGTAGAAAGGTAGTTATTAGGTATGATCCATGAAAACAGATAAAACTGCTGAAGGACTTGGTTATTCAACATAAGTACTTGGCACACTAAAAACCAACAATCAAAAACAGGAACATATACTGCTACTGCTTTTTTCAAAGGATACTCTCCTGTTACAATCCCTTCAATAATACAGCACATTTATTTATTGAGTGTCTTCTGTGTGTCAAGCACTATCCTAGGCACCGGAATAAAGCAGTCAATAAAGAGGATGAAAAATCTCTGTCTTCATGAAATTTACATCCTAGTGGGTGGAAATTATTACAATATGTCAAAAGGGATTAGTTATAATAAAGAAAATAAAAACGTTGAGAAGGAAGACTGTAAGTAAGGGGAAAGCTCTGAGATGTGAGACTGAATGAAGAGGGTGTGTGAGAGGAAGTAATTAAATATAACCCCAAAGTTTTTGACCTGAGAAACTAAGAAGAAGGTACCATTCTGAGATAGAAAAGGCTAAATAAACAGGTTAGGCAGGAGATGGGGGAAAGGGAGGGGTGGGGGAGAAGATACTTTAGACACCTAAGCAGTAAATCAATTAAGCATTTGAATATGGAAACTTGAAATTCACAGGAAAGATGTGGAATGCAGAAAAAAATCTGAGTTTTCAGCATACTGTGATATTAAACTCAGATTAGATGAGATTAACAAGAATTAAGAGTATCACAGAGAAGTCCAAGCCCTGGAATACTCCAAAGTTTAGTGTTCAGGATTATGAAGAGCAACCAGCATAGAGACTGAGAGGGAGTAATCACAAAAATAGGACTAATATCATCACAAAAATAGGACTAATATCAGTAGAGTGTGGTATCCTGGAAATTAAATAAAGAAATGCTGCTGATTTGAGTAACAGGCAAACATCTGAGGTCACTGGTGATCCTGTCCTGAAAGACTCGATTCATGAAAGACAGAGAAAAAGGAACTGGAGAGCATTCTTTTTGAGTTCTGTTGTAAGAGAAACTGGCAATAGCTGCCAGAGTGTAATACCGGGTTAAGAGGGATTTTTTTGTAATTGTTTCTGTTTTCTTTTTAAAAGATAAATGAAATTATAGACTTTGGAGGAATGTAAGTTCATTCAAAGAATCAAATTTAAAAGTATGAAAAATATCAGGAAATCCACCAACCCACATACCTCATAACTTACCCATTTAATTATCTCCATTATGATCTTTTTTTTTTTTTAAGATTTTATTTATTTGACAGAGAGAGACACAGCAAGAGAGGGAACACAAGGAGGGGGAGAGGGAGAAGCAGGCCTCCCGCCCGGCAGGGAGCCCGATGTGGGGCTCGATCCCAGGATCCTGGGATCATGACCCAAGCTGAAGGCAGACACTCAACAACTGAGCCACCCAGGCGCCCCTCCACTACGTTTCTTTTAATACTAGCAGAAACAACTAAACATGAGCAACCTCTATGTCCTTGAAAGTGCTATTCCTTTCCAGAGTAAATACTACATATCATAGCACGATCAATCTTAGGAGCCTCAGAAATGTTAGATGAAGCAAAAATGAACTTTTGGAACTTCATCAAGATAAAAAGCTTCTGCACAGCAAAGGAAACAGTCAACAAAACAGAGGCAACCCGTAGAATGGGAGAAGATATTTGCAAATGACAGTACAGATAAAGGGCTGGTATCCAAGAGCTATAAAGAACTTCTCAAACTCAACACCCAAAAAACAAATAATCAAGTCAAAAAATGGGCAGAAGACATGAACAGACACTTCTCTAAAGAAGACATACAAATGGCTAACAGACATGAAAAAATGTTCATCATCATTAGCCATCAGAGAAATTCAAATCAAAAACCACACTGAGATACCACCTTGCACCAGTTAGAATGGCAAAAATTGACAAGGCAAGAAACAACAAATGTTGGAGAGGTTGTGGAGAAAGGGGAACCCTCTTAAACCGCTGGTGGGAATGCAAGTTGGTACAGCCACTTTGGAAAACAGTGTGGAGGTGCCTCAAAAAATTAAAAACAGGGGCACCTGGGTGGCTCAGTCATTAAGCGTCTGCCTTCGGCTCAGGTCATGGTCCCAGGGTTCTGGGATCGAGTCCCACATCAGGCTCCCTGCTCAGCGGGAGGCCTGCTTCTCCCTCCCCCACTCCCCCTGCTTGTGTTCCCTCTCTCGCTGTATCTCTCTCTGTCAAATAAATGAATAAAATCTTAAAAAAAAAAAAATTTAAAAATAGAGCAACCCTATGACCCAGCAATTGCACTACTGGGTATTTACCCCAAAGACACGGATGCAGTGAAAAGGGCCATATGCACCCCAATGTTCATAGTAACAATGTCTGCAATAGCAAAACTGTGGAAAGAGCTGAGGTGCCCTTCAACAGATGAATGGATAAAGAAGATGTGGTCCATATAGACAATGGAATATTACTCAGCCATCAGGAAAGGATGAATACCCAACTTTTTTTTTTTGAATACCCAACTTTTACATCAACATAGATAGGACTGGAGGAGATTATGCTAAGTGAAATAAGTCAAGCAGAGAAAGTCAATTATCATATGGTTTCACTTATTTGTGGAACATAAGGAATAGCATGGAGGACATTAGGACAAGGAAGGGAAAAATGAAGTGGGGGAAATAGGAGGGGAAGATGAACCACAAGAGACTATGGACTCTGAGAAACAAACTGAGGGTGTTAGAGTGGAGGGGGGTGGGTGGATGGGTTAGCCTGGTGATGGGTATTAAGGAGGGCACGTACCCATGGAGTGTACCCATGGAGTACTGGGTGTTAGACAAAAACAATGGCGTGTGGATCACTACATCAAAAACTAATGATGTATTGTACAGTGACTAACATAACGTAATAAAATAATATTTAAAAAGTTTAGATGATTCATGAAAGTTAAAAGGAGCCTCAAACAATATCTAGGATTTTTCACGAAAGTATGTATAAAACCAACCATACTGCTGAATATGTATATCTACCATACAGTTTTAAAATAACATTCATTTCCCTCCTTACAAAAACCCTTTGCAGAAAATCTGAATAAAGAACAAAATTCTCTTGGCTAGCAATTATAAACGTACTAGTAACATTTTTTTTCTGTGTATTAAAAAAAATAAAACTGGGACATAATTTTTTTATCCACTTTTTCACTCAACTTATTAATAACTGCTTTACTATCCTACTAGATTCTGAAAGTGTTGCATAGCAGTTCAACACATGAATGCCCCATAATTTATTTAATCAATTTTCTATTGTTGAATATTGAGGTCATTTCCCCTTTCACTAGGTAAGGATCATCTCCATCTATAACACTGGGTCTTTCATGAAAATTTAACAAACTCCTTCTATTTAATTTGAAATACCTTGGTCATCATCATCACCACCATCTGCATCCATGGCATTTTCATCTTCATCTTCATCATCATAATTATAATTTGGATCATAGGTAAGATATTTAAGACAAATATTTATAATGGTAGAAACATGAGGATATACTTCCTTAGGACATCTGAAGAAAAAAATAAAAGCTGCCTTGAGTAACTGTACTTTTCTCGATTCACTATCTGACACATTTTATCACCAGATTTTTTTCTTCCCTTTAACATAGCATAGGAAAAGTGGTCCCCAGCCTTTCAATACTAATGACTCTGCATATTTTAAAATATTTACTTTTCAAATTACACTTAATTTTAAGATGAACTTTTCCCATTTTAACACCTCTGAAGTCAGGATGATTCTTACAATAACTGATTTATCATGGTTAATGTGAGATAGTACAGAGAGAAATCTGTATATGTTCTATCTTCTCAACATAAGATTAGAAGACCAAGCCCAAGTGAGTGTGCTCTTCAGCAACTAGGACTGTTTGTGAAAATGCCAATACATACTCCTACGCTTGGTCTTCTAGCTATATGCTGAGAGACAGAACACAGAAATCCCCCACAATAAAGGAATAATTTATGTTTCTCAATTAAAAGAACAGAAACAAATTGCACAATTTCTGATTTTAAAAATTTGGTATGACCATAAAGCTACTTCTTAAAACCACGAGTGGGGCAAAGGATTACTGCAGATAACAACCAGTCAAGTCTCAAGACACTATGCTATACCAAACTGGCAATTTTAGCCAAAGGCAAAAAAATCTGTTCCTCAGCCAGTATGGCCTTCTAGTACATAAATGAAGATTTTATTATTAGAACCAAGGTTTCCAAATTGAGACTCACTGTCCTAGCAAAATGCATGTGACAAACTTCAAAAAATGTTAGAAAGATATAAAATTCACTATATAGTTTTGGCCAGGTAATTAATTTACCTGCTGCTCTTTAAGACAGTAACTACATTATTAAATTAAACCAAAAGACAACCATAAATACCTTCACAAATTCTTTCAAGTCCTAGCAATGAAAAGGAAACATTTCAAAATAAATCTAAGGACCGTATTTTTAAATATGAGATCACAACCACTTCAAATACTGCACTGATTTATCAGTTACTGTTTAATGAGAATTTAATCCAATCAAACACATCCGAAACCAAAATTCATCCTGGCTGTCAGTAAAATAACCCATTTCTCCTCACCGACCTACTCTAGATCTTAATTATTACTCTATTCTTAAGTGAAACTTTTATTTGAATATAGAGATCCTAAAAACTTACCTTCTCACAAATGACTCAAAGGCTTGAATGCAGTACTCTCTTAATTCATCGTCATCTACATTACAAAATTTTACCACCAAAGGAATTATCTTCTCAAGGTATTCACCTAAGAAAAGCATATTGGTTCTTAAAAACATTCATTTTTTTTAATTAAAGAAAATATTAAAGTATTTAAACATTTCTTACCTATTCTATGACCAGCTTGCCTACTAATTGCAGCAATACATTGTATGTAGGTTCTTGTTGTTGACATGGAATCATTTTTGGATAATTCTGACAACAGATGTTCAATAAGATCTACAAAAACTATATTTCCACAGCTCATAACCAGATGGCCAAGAGCAATAATGGTTCTTTTCCTCACTGCAAGTCTAGGGCTGGTCAACTGGGGGAGCAGACAGGTCAGAATTGAAGGATGGAAATTAACAAGAAGTCCTCCTTGCCTTAAAATAAGAAAGAAAACCATAAATAAATTCAAGATTTCTGAGCACTACTGAAATGTCTGGCCTCTGACCTCAATGTATTCAAACAGTAAAAATTTAGATGACATTAATCCAAATTCAGAATTAAAGTAAAACTAAATTCTTACTTTCTCTAGCAACCCAACTGAAAAGTTAAGTAAATGCAGTTCTGAAATCTGTATCCCAAAATTCACTTCTAGAATCTAGAACCATATCCCCATCTATAAGATATCCAACCAAGCTTGAGAATACATCAAAAAAACAATGGACTTGTCCCTTTTCCCTTCCAGATCTCTAAAGTGTTTTCCCTATTAATAGCTTTTTCTCTATGATAGCTTTCTGGGAGTTCTTAACACTCAAAATCTCAGAACCTCTTGACTATCCCCTCTCCCTATGGTCTTCCCTCAACATATCTATGTACTAAGTTGCATTGACCCTGTTGGTCCAATCCTCTCTTCCAAATCATTTCACATGTGCAGTTCAGGGAGTCAATAGCAGTTAAACATCTATGCGCCAGGACCCTGCAACTGATCCAGTAACACAGGACAAAATGTCTGAGTATTTACTACCTATGAAATTAAGTATAAATTCCTCACCCTCTTCAACATGACCACAACCTATGAAAATGATTTCCTACCACTCTTCTATTCATTCCATATATTCTGGAAAACGAGAATACAACGTTTCCCAACTCTAAGACTACTTATGCTGAATATTCTAAGCCTAGGCACATACACCTGTGCCCTACCCATTCTTCAAAACTAAACTCAAATGCCATTCTTTCCATAATAAACTTACTTGGAATCCTCCATTTTAAACCCCAAAACACACCAACAGTCTCAGTATTTAGTTCCATTTTTGTTCTTATCTCCTACAGTAACATATAAGTTCTTGTGTGTGCCAGAATGACAGCTCTTACCTTTTCCTATAACTATGTACCATATGAAGGCATCTGATTATTTTCAAGCTGCAATGAATCAGGCACAAGTAATACACAAACAATGAAGACATATAATGATTTTGAGAATTAGAGATAAACTGAAACTGACAGGTCTTCTAAGGTATTTTCCCCCTTGGAGTTAATTAGATCTTCCTATCTTCCCAAGTTTGACTTCCAGAGGAAAGCAAACAAGGAACAAATGTATAAAGCCAAGTTCCCTCCTCCCCAACATGCACTATAATCATGGTTGCTGAAATTTATGCCATTATTTTAATTGGAAAATTTGCTACTCCTACCAGTATGTCTCTTATTTAACAGAGAAATGACTGTAATCAAAATATATGAGTAAAACAAAACATAAAAACTGTGAAATTCAAATCACAAATTTTATTACTTTTCAAAACTACAAAAAATGCCTGCTATGCAATATTACGTGATAAATATAATTAGCTTATTTCTCCCCTTATCCCTACCCACATTATAAAACAGCCACAATTTAAACATGGACAATTTTTGGGCGCCTGGGTGGCTCAGATGGTTAAGCGTCTGCCTTCGGCTCAGGTCATGATCCCAGGGTCCTGGGATCGAGTCCCGCATCGGGCTCCCTGCTCCTTGGGAGCCTGCTTCTCCCTCTGCTTCTCTCTCTCTCTCCGTCTCTCATGAATAAATAAATAAAATATTTAAAAAAAAAAATTAAAAAAAAAAAGAATAAATAAATAAACATGGACAATTTTAGACCAAATTATATTTATCAAAACGTGTTTTTAATAAATGCACATAGTTTGTGTATTACAAATAATACAAATGATAGGCATGTTTACCTGCTCAACATATCAGCCATAATATCCAAGGCTTCTAGCTGAACAGAGACATCTTCCTGCTTCGCTATTGCACTGGTAAGACGTCCAGTAATCTTTTTACATACGTTAGCAGCTAATGCAGAGCCTACATGAATAATAATCCAAGAATAATTTTAAGGCAATTATACTGACTCTACCTTATATTCATGGTGGTTACCAGATATTCAACAACTCTAAACTTGATTATAATCGAGACTGACTTAAGAGATCCATGTCAGAAAAATATTTCAAAACAGGTTGCTTTCCAATAAAATAATTTATTAGATATAAACAAGAATAAGAGTAATTAACTGCAGAAGGAGTATATGACACAGGCAAAACAATAATGATTCAACAGACTCTACTGGACAACTATTTCTACATACTGACGTGACGGCCGACTACGGAGCCAGTAGCAGCTATAGTGTTTGCGCCTCTAGACTGGAAAGCAGAAATGAATTTTCTTCTACTTGAATACTCTTTACTAGCAACCCAGACTTCTTAAAATTTCAGTGAATTAAAAACCAAATATATTCTGAGGTCTAACAACATGATCTCTTAAAAGAGAGAGAGCTGTAAAACTGTAAGAACCTTCCTATTCCAATCTAAAGATTCCAAAACTTCATTATGATGAACTAGAAATGGTGTTCCAGAGAACTCATAAATCAAGGTTACTACTATTCTGAAGTAGATTTGTCTTATTACTGGCAAGTGGGGAAAAAAAAGGGAACACGAAACTAATCTAAATGGTTAATAAAATTCTTGTTTGAACCAGAAATCAGCTAAAAACAAATGTGTTTCAATGAAAAGAAATGAGGAAAATATCAATATAAAGAAATATTTTATTAATTAATAAGACCAAAGTAACATTGGTAAGAAACAGTTGAAAAAGCATCAGCTTTGGATTAAAAAATAATAGAGGACTTGAATCTTCACCCAAATAGGTAATCAGAATTTTGGGTGCATTAACCCAATCTCCCTGCATTTCAATTCCCTCATCAATAAACTAGGAATATTAAGACCTCCCATATGGCTGACGTTAGACTAACTGAAATAATACACACATACCAACTAGCATGATAGCTAGCATAGCAAAAGATTAATAAATCTTTATTAAATGAGTAAAAACTACATACTTAGACTACACTATTACGAGTCTACATCTTTCCATGAAATAGATAATAATTTCACTCCATCTGTAGATAAGACCATCAATAACTTTAGCCTGCTGATTTTAGCAGACACCTTAGTAGTTAAGATCAATTCTAAAACTTGCATTACCTAAATCTGTGCCAGAGACCAAGATCTAATTGACAAATTCATTGTCGTTTTATATTTTTTAAATTACCAAAGTAGCTATAGAGTCAGCCTTAATAAAGATACTAGTAAACTGAACTATTTCACAACTGTTTTAAAACAGTATTAAGTTTCATACATCATAAATTCTGATGCAAAGCAAAACTAATACTGAAAATAGAGAGCTAATCAGAAATAACTCAAAATTTTGGTTATCTTTTCCTTTAGTGCACAGGTTGACATTAACTCTATTCTGTAGTCATGGTACATACAACAATAAAAAATCTTGCTATTCCTACGAGATACTTAAATTCAATCAAAATAATATTCTTTAAAACTGGAAATTGAATTTATTTTTAAGCAAAAATAAGACTCTGGACTTTTTTCCCCTTATTTGTTCAAAGAGATGCTTACAAAGATCCTTTGATAGACACTGCTCTCCTTCCCTGGCCAGGAGGAAAAACAAATGGAGGAAAAATAGCTCCATGTAAAAAGGAACTAGGAAGAAAAAAGTGCTCTTGCTTACCACTGGAAGCTGGAGGAAGTTCTCCAATTACTGTTTTAAGGCCAATACTTGAAATATCTCGAAGTTGTTCCTTATCAGAAAGCATGTTAGTGCAGAGGGTATCTACAATTGTCTCTACTTGGTATTCTTTCACTTTACTCACTAAGGGGCCAAGACTGTAATATAAATAGAAAAAAATTTTAATTTACATTAAATACAAAAACAGAAAAATAGACAAAAGCATTATTTTTTTCTGCCTAGCAACTGTCAACACAAAATAAATACACTATGCCTGTTTCATAGATAGTATATGAATACGGGTTTAAAACAAATTTGATTAAGCTCCTTGCAGTTGGTTTCCAGGGTTTCCCCCACTGATTTCCACCATGGTATCATGAAACTTAAGATGCTCCCAATCCTTCATATATACAAAACATTTTTTAGTACTAAAAAGGCTAATTAGCAGTCTGCTCCTAACAAGGATCCTATGGTTTACCTGAAATAGCAATTCTACCCAATATATCACTTTGCCAACTCAGACCCTGCCTTCCTTCTATCATCTGTCACCAAAAGAACGGGACAGAAGACTGCACCTAAGGGACAGATTTTTAGGTACTGGGCTTATGGGATATTGTTAGAAAAGAAGAGCATTTCAAATGGAAAGATCAGAGACCAGAATGAGTGGAATGCATACTTTAAAAAATGAGGAATGGGAAAGAAAAGCAAAAATGAACTACTGGGACTTCATCAAGATAAAAAGCTTTTGCACAACAAAGGAAACAGTCAACAAAACCGAAAGACAACCTATGGAATGGGAGAAGATATCTGCAAATGACTTACCAGATAAAGGGCTAGTAGCCAAGATCTATAAAGAACTTATCATACTCAACACCCAAACAACCCAAATAATCCAGTCAAGAAATGGGCAGAAGACATGAACAGACATTTCTCCAAAGAAGACATCCAAATGGCCAACAGACACATGAAAAAGTTCTCAACATCACTCGGGATCAGGGAAATACAAATCAAAACCACAATGAGATACCACCTCACACCAGTCAGAATGGCTAAAATTAACAAGTCAGGAAATGACAAATGTTGGTGAGGATGTGGAGAAAGGGGAATCCTCTTACACTGAGGGAATGCAAGCTGGTTTCCACTCTGGAAAACAGTATGGAGGTTCTTCAAGAAGTTAAAAATAGAGCTATACTACGATCCAGCAATTGCACTACTAGGTATTTACCCAAAGGATATAAACATTGTGATCCGAAGAGGCATCTGCACCCCAATGTTTATAGTAGCAATGTCCACAACAGCCAAACTATGGAAAGAGCCCAGATGTCCATCAACAGATGAACAGATAAAGAATATTCCACACACAATGGAATATTACTCAGCCATGAAAAAGGATGAAATCTTACCATTTACATCCACGTGGATGGAACTGGAGGGTATTATGCTGAGTGAAATAAGTCGATCAGCGAAAGACAACTATCATATGGGTTTTACGCATATGTGGAATTTAAGAAACAAAAGAGAGGATCATAGGTGAAGGGAGGGAAAAATAAGACAAAACCAGAGAGGGAGACAAACCATAAGACTTTTAACTATAAGAAACAAACAGGGTTGCTGGAGGGAAGCAGGTGGGGGGATGGGGTAACTGGGTGATAGGCATTAAGGAGGATCTGAGATATAATGAGTGTGTGTTATATACAAATGATGAATTACTGAACTCTACATCTGAAACTAATGATATACTATATGTTAAGTAACTTAATTAAGATTTAAAAAATGAGGAATGAAAAGAACTGGTTGATACAAAAGGCACATAAAAGACAATAGGAAAGGTAGGCCCCTGGGACATTATGGAGAACCTTTAAAGTTACGCCGGCAAATTTAAATGTGATGTGGTAAAATTGGGAGCCAATGCATTTTGTCAAGCATAAGTGACATGAGAAAAATAGTTTAATTTGATAAATGTCAGATAAGCATTTATCAAATACAGATGTTCAATAAACTGCTAACTGCTTGATTGGAGAAGCCACAGGCAGTGCAATTTGGGGAATTAAGAGAAGGAAGAAAAATAAACGGAAAGGTTGGAGAAATCCAAGAATAATCTAATCCAAAATGACGGCAGTGACAAAGAGACATGGCATATGTGTAAAGACCTAACATGAAACAATGAAAAAATTTGGAGTGAAAATAAAAGGGATTCCAAAAATGAATTTAAAGAGTTCTGGTAATGGCAAAATAGCTTTGTTGGACCAAAAGTCTGTAAACTCTCTAAAACTGTATTTTCAAAAAACAACAATTTGAATGCCAGATAATGATGTAACTAAAAACAGAAAGGTCTACCTAGAATTCCAAATCCACTGAAATTATCCCTTAAAAGTGAAAATAAAGACAATTTATGATAAAAACTGAAACTATATCACTACCAAACCTATACTGCAAGAATTGCCAAAGAAAGTTCTTTAGGCTAAAGAAAAATTAAACCATATGGTTACTCGGATTTATAAAGATCACCAGAAATGTAAATGTGTATATACATAAAAGGCTATATTTATCTTAAATACTACATTGGAGTATCTTAATTACTACATTGGGGTGCCAGGCTGAATCAATGGTAGAGCATGCAACTCTTGATCTCAGGGTTGCTGAATTGAAGACCCATGTTGGGTTTAGAGATTACTAATAAATAAGTAAATAAGTAAACTAAAAAAAAATAAAATAAGACTATATAGTTTTTCTTCCAACTATACATAATACTGTAGTATGGATACACATACATGCAAATACATAAAAAAACAGTAGCATAAAGACAGGAAGAAAGTAAACAGAAAAATGTTACAAGATTTATATACCTTATATCAAGTGGTACAATATTAACTTTTAATATGTTGCCATAAATTTAAAATGCAATTTATAATCCCTAGCCTAGAGTGACAGTTCAAAAAACACTAAGAGACATATCTAAAAAGTCAACAGAGGAAATCAAAATTAAATATAAAACAGATTCCCAACCTTTTGGTTTCAGGAACCCTTTTAACGCTTTAAAAATCAATGAAGACGCCAAAAACTTGTCTTTATGTAGGTTGTGTCTATCAATACTTACCATATTAAAAATTAAAAGTAACAAAAATAAACCTATCATGTTAACATAAACATTTTTAAAAACTTAACTATGTTCTCAAAAAAAGTGAGAGAAAAATAGCACTGATTTATATGTTTGCACTTAAAAAAAAAAACTGTGTTCTCGTATCTGATTTTGCATTTGGTCTGTTATGATTTTCACATTATGTGGCCTCTGGAAAATTACATTGTGCACTTACAAGAAAACTAGAGTCAAAGGGAAACTTTCTATCATGTACTTTCTATTTTACTCCATTTGTCCATTAATGCCTCACTACTGCACCGCTTTGATTACAGAAACACAACAGTCTCTTTTCCTATCTAGTAGGGCTAAGCAACAACTCCAACTTCAGCAACTGTTAACACTTTTTCAGAGTTTTCTTGGCTATCTTGAGCAAACACCTGCCCCCTCTCCCTCCCACCAAAATATACTTTAAAATCAACTTGTCTAGCTTGTGAAATAATTTTTACAATTAAGTTAGCATTAAATTAGCTTGGAGAGAACCAACAACTTTATTGAGTTATCCTATCCAAGGACATGGAATGTGTTTCCATTTGTTCCAAGTACATTTTTGTTAGGGGTCAAGAATATTTTAAAGTTTTCCTTAAGTTTTGAAAAAGATAAAATTGTAACCTTACCTATACCATATAATACCCTCACTCAAGGTCACCAATGTAACATTTCTTGTTACATTTAACTGCTAGGCATTTTGTCTTTCTGTTGCTGTAATAAATGGACATTTGATTCCATGAGATCTTCCAACTGGTTGTTTATATGAAAACTACAGATTTTTGTTCATTACTTTCACATCCTGTTGCTTCACTGAATTCTTACTGTCCACATTAAATTTTTTTCTTGATTGACTTGGATTATTCTCATGTACCTTTTCCAATGCTCATGCATATAATTTTATTCTTCCTTGTCCTATAGTGGCTAATACCTTCAAAAAGAATGTAGTGGAGACAGAAACCCATCTTTTCCTTATCATTGACATTAGTGTAAAGGTATCTGGTAACTTACTGGCTTTTGGGGTGAGGTATGTCTATGTGTGTGTACTTCTAACGTTAAAAAAGGTCTTATCTCGGGGCACCTGGGTGGCTCAGTCGTTAAGTGTCTGCCTTCAGCTCAGGGAGCCCTGCATCAGGCTCCCTGCTCAGCGGGAAGCCTGCTTCTCCCTCTCCCACTCCCCCTGCTTGTGTTCCCTCTCTCACTGTGTCTCTGTCAAATAAATAAATAAAATCTTTTAAAAAAATAAAATAAAAATAAAAAAGGTCTTCTCTCTCATTTAATAAAATGTTTCCCTTGAAACAGTGAATTCTCCCTAGTGAGATAAAGCATCCCTGACCTGTTCTTCACTCCAATGACATATTAAGTATGATGATGGTCTCTGGAAGGTGTTTCACTCCTCTAATTACACTAAGTAGCCTAAGTAAGTGTTGTGCTTTGGTGTTTTGTTTTGTTTTTTTAAATCAAGCATCGGGGTGCCTGGGTGGCTCAGTTGGTTGAGCAACTGCCTTCTGCTCAGGTCATGATCCCGAAGTTCTGGGATCGAGTCCCACCCACATCGGGCTCTCACCTCAGCGGGGAGCCTGCTTCCTCCTCTGACCCTGTCCCTTCTCATGCTATTTCTCATTCTCTCTCTCACTCTCTCTCAAATAAATAAATTTTAAAAAAAGGAAAATCTTTTTAAAATCAAGCATCAATGTTGAATCTTATCAGTGCCTGGACAACTGTTTTTTCTTCCTCTTATCCACTAACATAATGAAATATATTAACAAAGCACATAATATTGAACCACCCTCATGTTCTTGGGATCAATCTCACTTGGTCATGGTATGTTACACTTACTGTACTGTTGGATTATATTTTGAACATTTAAATGGTCTGTAGTTTTCTTGTTCAGTGTTATCTTCAGTCACAATATGTTATCAGTAATTGGTTTAAATAAAAGACTGGGAAGTTTTCATAGTTTACGTTCTGGAATAGTACTAGAACTCTCCGTACTGGAATTATCTGTTCTTTGAGGTTTCAAAGACGTGTGTGAAAGATTTCTGAGCCTGAGTTTCTTTTGGGTGATGAGTTCTTTGACAATTTTCCCTATTTCTTAATAAGGCTAGTTATAATTTATCTATTGTGATTTTCCCTCCTCCAAGAATCAGTTCTTGGGTTTTATCTCCTACTGTATTACTTTTGTTTATATCTTAATGCCTTTATTTTTTTCTTGAATATATGCCATTTCTTACCCCAACCTGTTAAGTTTTAAGAATAAAAGGTCTTCAAAAGACCAAAAGCTCAGGTCCCTAATGAGTAAAGATTCCTATGCAAGTGAATAAGACCTATGTTCCTCTCAACTCTCAATTTCGGACAAAGACTACTTTTTATTACCACTTTTAAAAGCTGGTAAATGTTCATCATATATTTTGAACAATGTTTAATTTTATTACGCACAGGCCAAAAATAAATAAATAAAAGATGAAAAATAAAGTAAAATTATACTCATTGCATTATTCTGCAACTTATCTTTTTAAGACCCATTTTAAACTTGCAAACGTCCCAAGTTAAAGAAATTGTACTGCATTGTCTAAAAACTCTATGCTGACCAATGATTTCTCACATTTTTGCCTGTTTTTACAGCAGGTATGTAAAAGCTAAGCCTAAAACAAACTTACAACCTTTGTAATAAATTGCAATACTGGGCGCCTAGGTGGCTCAGTCAGTTAAGCATCTGCCTTTGGTTCAGGTCATGATCCCAGAAAACTCCCTGCTCAGCGTGGAGTCTGCTTCTCCTTCTCCCTCTGCCCTTCTCCCCCACCCCATGCTTGTGCACTCTCGCTGTCTCTCTTAAATAAAATCTTAAAAAAAAAAAATTGTTTTAATGCAATAAAGGAATCATAATGAGACAACGCTTTTTTAAATTGATGCCTAATTATTACAGGACATACAAAATGACATAAAATTCCATAGCTTGTTATATGAAACTAAAGGTTACACTATGTAAATTGTTAAGGTTTTCTAGTATTTGATACATATAAATGAAACAATTTGTTAACAGAATTTACTGAGAACTCAAATTCTGTACCCTATTACTAAAAATAGTCAAACTGTCAATAACATGTCTAATAAGATGCTCCTACTACACTGTACACAAAGACAATTGGAATTCCCACAATTTTTAGGGAAAATTCTTTGCAGCTGCTATATCTATCAGTCTTAATTTGTGTTAACTACGGTTTTAAATGCTGCTGTTCTTTATAAAGTCTTATTATTTTTTACTTCCCTTGATCATTGGTTCTTAGATTTTCATACAGAGATGAATAGAGGCAAGTAGGCCTTTTAAAAATCTGGCTAAATAAATCAGATCAAACAAGTGAGAGAATCGCTCTTTCTGGAGTTTCCATTACATATTTCATACAAATCAAAATACCATAAAAGGCTTTAAGAAGTGTATGGGGTGCCTGGATGGCTCATATGGTTAAGCATCTGCCTTTAGCTCAGGTCATGATCCCAGGGTCCTGGGACTGAGCACCGCATTGGGCCCCGGCTTGGCAGGGAGCCTGTTTCTCTCTCTCCCTCTACTGTTCCCCCTGCTTGTGTTCTCTCGCTCTGTCAAATAAGTAAATAAAATCTTTAAAAGAAAAAAAAGAAAAAGAAACCTTAAGAAGTGTATCATACATACCACATGCAAACATTAAACATTCACCACTCACCTGCAAATTCTAAAGAAAATTCCAGAAAGACATAGTACACAACTAAGATAATTTACCAACTATTACACTGAGTCTTTTAATGGGGCCGATAGGGGTGGAAAGCAAGTAAAAAACACTTACCATTTGACAGCTAAATTCTGTACCTCTCCATTTTTATCTTCCAGTAACTTCAAAATCATTTTCACCACTTTCCTTTCACTGTCATCATCCAACTTGATGGAATCTTTCTGCAGTTCTGTCATCAAATCATTTGTAGCCATAAACCTATCAAAAAATTAAATTTGTTGATAATTTCAATTTTTAAGCACAAAGATCATGTCTTTCAAATATAATGCTATCATCCTTATCTAACTATCTAAGTCCTAACAAACTCTCTTAAATAAGGAACCCATCACTTTAAATTATCTTCCCCAGGTCAGTCCTGTTTTAAGTTACAGATAGGATCTACTTTGAGTGTTCTTTCATTCTAATTAACTGTATCATTGCTTTTAGGAGGAGAAAAGCTCCTCTTTACTTTTTCTTTGCTTGTGATTTGAATTTTATCTAGGAAGCCTTTAACTACAAACATTAAGAATACCTTCCTATATAATATTCTGTGTGGGGATCAAGGGGCAGGGGTCACATATTAAAAAATTACTGGAAATTTCCAAAATACAAATTCTCAGTTCTACCCCAATTCCCATCACAAGGTTATCAGATGTATTTTCAAAATGGTGAAGAGGCGATTCTAGAACATATTTCCATCTGACATCCAGCCCCCTCCCCTTAAGAACTACTGCCAAAGACAAGTTTAATACCTAATAGTCTGAACAAAAAACCCAGAGTGATCAATTGTCTAATCTCAGCTTTACATGAAAAGGTTGAATAGGAGACAAAAATGAGGTAAACAGACTCTCAGATTTTTTTCTCATATACCTCACCAGATGATTCATTGTTTTAAAAGTATTTTCTCAAGAGTAATGGATAATCACACTGAAAATAAAGCCCCCTGTTTGAAGGCCAAACGAATTTTTTCCCCTAATTCTGGCTCTTCTCTACCTACTGAAATAACCTAACTGCAGTAACAACTACTTAAATGCCTTTTTCCTGTATATGAACCAAATCAAGTTTGAGTAAAAGTATACTATTTATATTACATACAGAAATGTCAAAATCTGTGTTTAAATCAATTAAAAACCACTAACTATTGGAGCTGAAATGATAAATAGCTATGCAGACAGTCTGGCAATACAGGCGATAATGTGGTAAGGATCGGCAAAACAACTTATTAATTTAGGAATTCATTATTTTTTATGTAAGGAGTTAATATGTTCATTTAATGCTAATTTGACAAAGTTTTAAACTACAATGCAAGCACAATTCTTATCAAGTTTTGTGAAACAGCTTATAAACTCTGTGTTCAAATTGGGATTATACAAGGTAAAGCATGTACTTTTTTTAAATGAACATGGTTGTAATGGATAGTCCCTCCCCATTTTATATGACAAATGAAATTAAAACCACACAATATTCTAGAAAATAAAAAACAAAAAACTGAATAATAGCGCACTAATGCAGGAATTCTGCACACAAAGCATTAAAATATCTTAACCATTTTACTTCCATAAAATCATGAAATAAAACAATAGTAGTTAGGACTTCTAAAGACCCCTGAAATGCTCACCTGGTTGAAAAGAACATGGCCATTAATTTAGGTAAAAAAGCAAATAATCCCAATGCAAAAAGTTGTTTTATGGTTCTGAAGGGAGTCTACTGGTACACAGATTCTCTCCTTTATTTACCACTTATTTATTCATTGCCTATTATGCTACAAAGGCTGGACTATGAGCAAAGGATAGATAAAAAGTAAATAAACCTTGGCTCCTGACCTCAGAGAAGTCTACTGATTCTCAAAAATCTATAATCAATGCAAAACCACAAGATATCACCTCACACCAGTCAGATTGGCTAGTATCAAAAATACAAGAAATAACAAGCATTTGCAAGGATGTGGAAAAAAGGGAACCGTCGTTCCCTTTTGGTAGGATGCAAAATGGTGCAGCCACTATGGAAAACGGTATGGAGGTTCCTCAAAAAATTAAAAATAGAAATACCATATGATCAGGATTCCACAACTGGGTATCTGCCAAAAACAAAAACAAAAACACTAATTAAAAAAGATACATGCACCCCTATGTTCACTGCACCATTATTTACAATAGCCAAGATATGGAAGCAACCTAAGTGTCCTCTGACAAATAAATGGATTAAAGAACAATGGGATATTTTATGGAATAGGCACAAAAAAAGAATGAAATCTTGCCATTCTCAACAACATGCATGGACCTAGAAGGTATTAAAGGGGATTAAGAGGCACAAACTTCCAGTTATAAAATAAATGGCAGGGATTTTGTATGGTGACTATATTTAGCATGGTGAGCACTGTGTAATGTACAGAATTAGAACTGTCAAATCACTTTGTTGTACACTTAAAGCTAATGTAACATTGTATGTCAACTATACTTCAGTAAGTTTATAATTTTAAAAAATCTATGACCAATGGGGTTAAACATTTTTTAAAGCTGAAATGAGCCCCAGTAAAATTAGCAATAGGCATTATTTTTAAAAATGAGAAAAAATGGATTGAGATGGTATTAAGTTATACTGAGTTACTTTTTAATGGTGACGCCCAAACAGAAAGTTCTAAGAATTTCTTCTGTTAATTTGATATAAAAATTTGCACTATAAAATCATCCTATAAGAAAAGTTGTTTAACCAGCTAAAAAGCTGTCCATGGTAGATTCAAAAGCCAATTTGTAAAATGTCTCTTAAGCATGTAATGTTCTAGGCATGATGCTAAGACCTAAGATGATAAAACAGACTCAGTCCCTTCCTCCTAACCTTTTCATCTAATATGGCAGACAGGTAAATGGACAAATCTCAATCTTACAGATTTTTAAAAAATACTCAAGGACAATTGACACTGATCACACCAAGAACTGACAGTTTGGATCACAAAGGATTAACAGGGGTGTGCATGGGGAAAGCTGGTTTGGAATTTTAAATTTTTATTTTTGTCTTTGTTGGGGTGGGGGCAGTGGCAGCAGCAACAATGCTGAGGGACATAACCCTTTTGAGTGAAGGGCTAAGAAGCAGTTAAGTGTGGCTGGGACATAGGCAGGTAGAAAGAAGCCTAACAGGAAGAAGATGGAAATGTAGGCTGACGTCAAGATAAGAAAGATCTGACTCTGTAGCGAGAACCTAGTAAGTATATAACAGGTACTGTGCTCAACTCTATACAAACAAGAGATGACAAAAGAAAACAGTTCCTGCTGTCTTGGAGCTTACAATACAATCAAAGAGAGATATTAGTTTTAAAAACTACATATATGGGTTAATTGTATATGTAATTATGAACAGACAAATGCTAGGAAGGGAAGGAAAGGGATAGGACACAAAGAAAACTCAATGGTGTAATAAAGTAACCTGATGCAGATTGCACTGGGGTTTGTGCATCAGGAAAGACTGAACTCTGAAGCATGGGCAGGAATTTTTTTGGGGGGGGGGAGCAAGTAAGCAAGGGCCAAGAGACTGAAGAGATTTGGGGGTCTTATTGGGATTTTAGTCTTTATTCTAAGAGCAATGGGAAGTTATTGAAAGGTATCTGGGTCAGAGATGGGCAGTACACCAGAATGATCAAATGTGCATTTCAGAAACATTACTCCAGCTATACTATGGTCAGAGTGTAGAAAGAACCAATCTCCATTTAGCCAAAATGAATGGAGAAAGTTAGGACTGAGTTACTGTTGCAGTCTAAGTGCGAAATGATGGCAGCTACAATTAGGGTTATGACAATCTGTGGAGGAAGAAAAATGGACATACAATCAATTCTCATTATTATCAAAGTTAATGCCTTCTTGTTTCAACTCACATACTGTAAAAAGTATCCTCTATCTAGTGCCACATCATTTGCATGTTTGTGTTTTTTGTTGGTAATGTTGCTGTTAAAATGACCCCAAGCATAGTGTAGTGCTGTCTAGTATTCCTAAGTACAAGAAAGCTGTGTCTTCCAGAAAAAAAATACATATATTAGATAAGCTTTTCTCAGGCATGAAGTGATAGTGCTGTTGGCCATGAGCACAATGTGAACAAATCAACAACATATATTAAATAAGGTTGTCTTTAAACAGAAATAAAAACAAGGTTATGAACCGATCAAATATGAAAATGCTATGACTAGAAGCTCACAGGAACCTACCACCGTATAACAGCTCAGTATCACTAATTCAATGTTCATGGTAACTTGATAGTACTACCTACTGAGAATAATAACCAACTATTTGAGATTTAAAAGGTTAAAATAAGTCTCTGAAATGGATTAGATATGGGGATGGTAAGGGATGAATTAGCAAATGGACAAAGCAGTAGGAGGAAAACCACAGGACTTGGGTGTTAAAGTCAGGTATGTATCCCTTCCAGAGTCTATTATTTAGCAGCCACTGTCATATCAAATGGTTCAAACACTCACCTTACAACAGGAGAAAGGATTAATAAACCTGGCTCAACTACAGACCACACAGAATGGCCATTCCTTCTGATCCTAATCAACAAAATCTCAGCAATAGTCAAGATGTAAACATCATAAATCAATGATGCCCTGGCAGCCCAATTTCATCTGCCCTTGGTCAAAAGGGGGGACTAAGAAAGGGAAAAAACAAAAACAAAAAATAACAGTCCAGGAACTGATCTGAGGCTCATACCTATATCTGAATGTTACTCCAAACTGATCTGATGCTTACAATGAAAGCGTATTGTTTTCCTAGACATAAACAACCTCACAGAATATACATTTCAGACAAGTTCACTTAACACAAAATACCAAACACACCTTCCGCTCTAACTCATTGACTGCTACTTCTTCACCAATTAAAGCTTTTCCTCTGCTTTAGTTTCGCCCTCCTCATATTAAGATGTCAACAACGGAACTGCCCCACTTTCCAACAATCCAGTGTGAAACTCCACTTCCTTAGACCCTTCCCAAAACTACCCAAATGAATAGGTCCTACCACTCTTTAACTGAGACTTCCCATGGTGTGTCTTCTCTCTCCCTCACTATAATGGTAATAAATCCAACTTGTGTCAAGGATGCCTATGTAAGAGAATTTCAAGAAGGAAAAAGTAATAAACAGTGCTTGCATATCAAATAGATAAGCAAACAAAATATCCACTGAATTAGTTACATAGAGCTTCTCAGAAACTTGGGGAAGAGTAATTTCAGTGATCCT